GTGGTAAGATAGTGTGAAATTTGTCTTCATCTCCCACTTTTACTCACCCGCCTCACCACATGGTCAGGTTTGAAACCTGGGGATTGACTTGGCTGTGGTTCACATAAGAAAGCTAATGTGAGGACATTAATACGGTTCTCCAGGGGAAAGGGAGGCACAGAAACTCTTGGCATTAACAGCAGGGTCATTACTTCATAAGAAATAGGGCCAAGGGCTGGGGATATAGTGCAGTTGGTAGAGTGCTTGCCTTGCATGCACAAAGCCCTGGGTTCAATCCCCAGCACCACCACAAAAAAAAAAAAAATAGGGTCAAAATAATTCTAATAGAGGAATAAAATTAACTCACATATACCAGAACAGAAGGAAAATACTTCTCATGGTTATACTGAAGCCTGGCTCAAGGAGTTGTGAGAATTAGATGCATAATGCAGCCCTTTGTTGCATTTAAATTCGAATGCATATGAGAAAACTAGTCCATCTTGTATTGAAATCTCACTTCTGCTTCTCACTGCATTTACCCCTTCACAATAATACGTGGGACCAGAATTCACCTTTTTCTTGACCCACCCCTGGAATTTTTTTTTTTTTGTACTAGGGGTTGAACCCATGGTATTTTAGCACCAAACTACAACCCCCATCTCCCATCCCTCTTTTAAAATTTGAGACAGGGTCTTGCTAAGTTGCTGAGGTTGTCCTCAAACTTGCAATTCTTCTCCCTCAGCCTCCCAAATCACTGGGATTATAGGCAAGCACAACAATGCCCAGCTCCTATCCCAGCTTCTTAGCTCACCAAGGGATACAGGTGCTAAGACCAGAGCTCACTGCAATGATACTCAGGAAAAACCCAAATAGGTAGAAGGAGAAGAAATCACGAATATTCTGTAATGCCTAAGGTTAAGATATAAAAAAGGATTTAGGAAAAGATTAAAAAAATAAAATAAAATAAAAAATAAAAAAGGATTTAGGGTTTCAACATTCAGAAGAGCAGAATACCACGTTTCATAGATTGACAGTAGAGGCCCTGAACAGAAAACAAACTTATAGCTTACATTAATTCATTCATTTCACACACATCTATTGAATACTTACAGTATGCATGTAATTTTCAAAACTCCTTGAGCCAGTAGTGTGAAGTTAGGAGGGCTTCATTGTAACTAAGAACTTTAGAAATCCTAGGCAAATTTAAAAATTTTTTTTTTAAAATTCATAGAGCTATATTTCTTATAATTCATCATGGAAAGAAAATATAAAACGTCCAAGTTGTAGTTTCTGTTTTCAAAGAGTTTGTGGTGTGATTGCAAAGACTGAAGCCAGTACAAAGTGTTAACTAAGGCAGAAAATTGTAATCAAGTAATGATTGGTAAAGATAATAGATGTCCTAGGATCTCAATGGGAGATATCATTGTATATCGGGTGGATTTTAGATTTTAGGGAGGATGTGATATTCAACCTGGGCCTTATAAACTGAGCAGAAATGCCTCAGTTGACAGGAAAGAGAGAGAAGGAATTCCAAATAGATAAAATTATACCAATAAGTCTTTGAAATAGGACATTCATAAGATGTCCTAATGACAATAAACCAACCAGTCTGCTTTGAGCACATGGTTGGCTCCAGAGGTATCCTGGGATCCAAGGTTTAGAAGGTAAATTGACACTAGATCGTAGAGGCTCTTAAATTCCAAATTGAAGATGTTGAACTTCATCTTGTAGAAAATGTCATGCCCTTTTTTGAAAGAGGAGAAGTGACAAATCAATTTCTAGAAGTTTCTGTTGAGAGCTTGCCATAGCTGTTCTGAGTGTTCAGAAAATGGTAGCCTACTCATAAATCTATCTTTTGATTTAGTTTCTGATTATTGCAGGTGACTGTCATCTCTTTAACAAGGGAAATATGCTTATTACATATTGCACAGATTATAATCTTCAGATTACAGCCCCAGTACACTTGCTGAAAAAAAAACCTCATAATTATCATGACTGAATGCAAATGTTATCCATATGTAATTAGTACAGAAGATGGAGCAGAGAGAGAATCATATTTAACACTAATGATCACTCAATTTTAGCATGAGCGGGTTTGAATTCTAGGACTTACTTTTCTCCTTAGAAAATCATGAGAAGAATCAAATTCATATGTGGAGCTCATAAATCAGAAGGGCATTGATGTTTGATACTATTGGGGTCAAAGAAAGTGGAGTGGGCTTAGGGTCTTCTCCATCAATGAATAAACCTGGGACAATAAAAAGAGACCAGGGAAGGATTTTAGGAGACAGGTGGAGAGAAGTGCAGGGATGGTTGGCTAGAAAGGTAAGAGCTTTGAAGCTGAAATTGGCTGATGATCATTTTGTCAGTTCTTTTTTTTCTAGTTTCTATTAGCTAAAGCTAGAAGTTGGCATGAAAACTATTCCAGTTGTTTTGAGAGTTTCAGTTGAATAAGCTGAATATTGAATTGATTTTTTTTTCCAGTCCTGGGAATAACCTTGATGATAACTATTTCAGCTTCATAAATGAAACAACAATGGAGACCTAGAAAGCCAAAGGGCCTCAGGAAGGCCACACGGGCAGTGCAGGGAAAGGCCAGCACCCCACCTTCACACTACCTGGATACTTCCTCGAGCAATGTCTGGCAATAGCAGGAGCGCAGTAGATATTTCTTGAAGGAATAAATGAATGACTAAATACCAAGTGCTGAGGGCCATTGCCAAGTAGGTATGACGCATCGAAATCCTTGCCAGCGTACCCCATGTTAAATGGACTTGCCTTGGAAATCCGCTGTGACCTTGCATGTGTGTTTGAGAAAGGTGACCCTGCTCAATGACCAGGGTGGATCCAGGATTAGGGTGTATCCTGCAGGTTTGAGGAAGTATCCTGGTCCTTGGGTTTAGGGCATAACCCAGTTTAAGTCAATAGGAGTTTTAGGGAAGTTGGAGGTTGAAGGTTATTCCTGCTGGGAGTAGGGCATGCCTGCTGCCTGAGTTCCCGCTGAGTTCTCCTGGAGAGAAAGCATTTAGGACGTGAATTGTGCGGGGAGATTGTGGATTTCCCCAGAACGTGTTTGTAGACAGCCGGTGTGAGTTCGGGAATAAAGAATTGCTGTTTGAATCTACAAGTGTGTGGTGGCTCGTGATTCTGTGCCAAGCCAAGACCTTGGCAACCAAGTTTTGAACTTTTCTTTTAGCATCCTTTCCATTGAACCATAGAAACTGTGGAAGGTTAAATAAAAGAGTGTCTTTAAGCAACCAGGACCTGCTTGCACAAGGGCAAAGGGTAAGTATCATCCGGGTACAGCTAGGCGTGCCGAGCACCAGCACACCCCCTTACATGACGTGTTAGTTTGCCAGGCCTGTCATAACGAAGTAGGTGCCTTTAACAAGAGAAACTTATTTTCTCACAGTTCTGGGAACTTGAAAGTCTAAGATCCAGGAGTCAGCCAGGTTGGTTTCTCCTGAGGATGGTAAGGAAAGGGTCGGTTCTTGGCCTTTTTCCTTGGCTTTAGGTGGCCACCTTCCTCCTTTGTCTTCACATCATCCCTTTGTATTCAAACTTCCTCCTAATGTAAGAGAAGCAGGTATATTGGATTAGGATAGAACCTAACAACCTCATTTAATTACCTCTTCATATGCTGTATCTACAAATTTAGGTGCATTCTGAGTTACTGAGGGTTAGGACTTCCACATATACACCTGGGGTGGGGGTGCAGGGGCACAATTCAGTTCACCACACAGGGAGATGGCCTGTCATCACCGCATAGTAAACCCTCCACACAACACCCTAGCAGTAGCCAACACGTTAAGAGAGCTCCCAGTTTGTAATTAAGAGGGTAATGGCCCAGCAGTCTGAAGGTCCTGCCCACGCATTTATTATTCAGGTGGAGCTGGGTTGTCCTCCAAGTTTTCCTGCCAATGTGCTAAAAGAGCAGCTAGAGGGCATGGTTTGGATGTTACTGTTTTTTAAAAACTATGTTATTAAAACTGTAATAAAATGTCTTTCTCATCTTGTAAAGTGCTATAAGAAGTCGGAAGGGCTCTGTTTAATGCATATTTCAGTATTATCCTGGGCTGGGCATTCATAAGGAAGCACTCCAACTGGTGCTCCTTAAGAGGTTATTGGGAAAACTAGTGAAGCTCTTACATGGTTTCTGTGAAGACTTTGAGGAAAGAGTATACACTTAATTTAGAAGAAAAATAGCTTTGTACTCATAAATCATTTGAAAGACTCAAAATTCTAAGACAGTGTCAGGAATTTCTTGGTTTTGTCTTTGGTGGGTATCTTATGTTTGCCTCAAAGTAAGAGACAGGCTGTGTTTCTTGCAGAAAGTGCCGCCCCCATCAGAATGGTACTTAGAAGCTATATGCTTAGCTTCCTTGTCTATACCACTGACCAAAATGTTGATGGACTATAACTTAGGGCATCTTCTTATCCATGACCCTCATGATTCCAAATGATGTTGTTTCCAAGTGATGAGTACTAATATAGATTCCAGGTGGTTGATGCAGTTTAATACTTTGGCCTGATTACTGTTTAGCATCTTCTGGCTCAATTGTCCTCATGGATTATGTACTTAAATCAAAAGGTCATTTTTGATCTATAGTGTGGATCTGAAGTTTCATGCCATGTTTTACTACTGGCTTGTCAGACATCAGAGACCAAGAACCCGCTGCATTCTCAGAAGGAAATATTAACAAATATTAACTGGGAGCACCAGTATTTTCCATGACCAGAGTGAGTCACTATAATAAGGGGCACAGAAAGCTGTATGGTTAAGAACAACACACACACACACACACACACACACACACAGAGCACACACTTGCAAAGAGAACCCCAGTGGGGTTAGCCACAGTATAGGGTTCACTCTAACTGGAAAAAATGGAGCAAAGGTGTTTTTTTCTCTCCCCTTTTCATATTTGTACATAGATGATAGTAACATTGTTGTGATTGGGAATTTATGCAATTCTAGGTTATTGGACAGTAAAGTACAACAGAGTGAAAACAGACAAAAATAAGTATTTGCCAAACATTTATTAAATTTTTATACAGTCCAATTATTTCAACAGAATGTCTCCAAGGTAGTAAGTATCAGGCCTCAAAGGATTGGGGATAAGTCTTCTCAAAGGGCCTCTAGAAATTTGCCTCTCTATTCACACACTTCCCTCTTTCCTTTCCCAACATGCTCTCTGTCACCTATTGGCCCTAGAGCAAGACAAACTTACAGGGTCCTGAGTAGGTTTCCTCTAAGCTAACATTAACAAAAGTAGCAATACTCTCAAATTCATCATTGGGGGAACAGAACTGAGCACTACAAACTACAGCAGATATAGCTTCAAAATTAGAGCTATGAAGTTGATAAACACATTGCTTTTGCTTCCTGGGGTTTTGAGTGGCATTAAGTATATATATTTTTTAAAAATCTAATTCCAAATTCTACACTTAAATTCTTAACAGATATTTCTTTTAGTTATAGGTGCTGATTCCACAGGGAGTTTTTCTGCCAAAAGTTCCTCTCCCTGATTTATTTGAGGGTTGCAAAAATTCAGGCAACTTGTGGAACATGTGTTAATTATGCCAAAATCAAAATCAAAACCCAGTGAGTTATTTGGCAGTAGATCAATGAAATTTAGGCACAAGAAAAAATATATCAACCTTAAAAACATGTAAACCACTCAGAGGTAATGAGCCATTAAAACTATACTCAATTATTTTGAGTCTCAACTTGTTGTATTGTTACTTTAAAAGGCAACAAATCAATGTGTTCTTCAAACAAAACTCTGTGAACAATTTAAATGACATGTTTTTAAAAATGTACACCATACCTGCACCAAAGAACAAAGACATCTTGCAGTAAAGAACTACCTGAGACAGAATTAAAGGTAGGAGTACAAAGTAATGAAATGAGCATAGCTCGAGAGTTTGGAAGAAAAGGCGCATTCGAACATCAGAGAGTTTTCCCACAACCGTAAACACGTGAGCCATTCCTTGGTACCCAGTGTTTCTCATTCTCTTTGGCTGGAAGCTTTGGCAGGGATGCCGGCGGCCTCGCTCAGGCGCGGTACTGAGCTCTCTGCTCCTGGATGTACTCGTAGAGGGGGCTGGAGCGCACGGGAGCGCCGACCGACGGGCGCGAGGCTGGCTCCTGGGCGCGTCTCTCCTCCTCCTCCTGCTGGCGGCGGAGCTGCTCTTCTCGGAATTTCCTCTCCCGCTCCTGGCGACGTCTCTGCTCTTGTTGCCCCAATTCTGGCACCTGACGACGCTTCTCCCTGGCAAACTGTTCCTCCGCCCGATACTGACGGTCGCGCTCCTGGCGCAGCTGCTCCTCCTCCCGTTCCTGGCGGAATCTTCGGTCGCGCTCCTGGCGGCGCAGCAGCTCCTCCTCCCTTTCCTGGCGGAGCACTTCTTCCTCCCGGAATTTTCTGTCGCGCTCCTGGCGCA